TTTCAACTTGTTATTACTTAATGTTTTTTTTTTTTGGAAACTCGTTTTTTTTTGTTTTCGATCAGCTTCCTTATGTTAATACCCCAGTATGCGTTGTGACAAGTATTTGGTTACTCTTTGATTATATCAAAAATTTTATTAATACGTGTTTATTCATGGTTCTTGCACCTTATTTTTCAACTTTTGTTTTTCTATTCTTGGGATATAGCTGTTTTAAATGCTGATTTGTATACCTATCGGCTTCTGCTCGGTGTCTTCTTCAGTTCTTTTAATTTTATAGGTATTACTTTTGTATTTTTTATATACTTATTTTTACTTCATGGTTTAAACAATTGTTTTTTATATTATAAAGGGTACTTAAACTATATCACAATTTGTTGTTTGAAAATAAAAGGAGAATATTTTTATTACTTTCTATCATCTTTTTTTGTTTGTTGATGTAATATTATCAACCTTTATGATTTATATCTTATTTTATTGTATAGGAAGAGCATGTATCCAAAATACCGGCTTTTTTATTAGCATGCCTGTGGCAGGTACAATTTGTACGGGAATTTTGTTCGCAAACAAGTGTATCCAAGCTGGATTATTATGTTTTTCTTTTGTGAATTCTTATTAGGTCGGAATCTCAATTAATATTCGTTTTTAACATACTTTAATTATTTTTGGATCTACCACAATGCACGATTTTTTCAAAATGGCGTTGTTGAGTTGAAGTTCGAAATAAAACAGCTAGATAGACCAAAACTAGTCCAAAAATCTATTCCATTTCGAAAAAACTCGAAAACTATTTGAATTACGAAAAACAATCGTCTGAATTAAAAGTTTTAAGTACTGACGCAAACAGGTGTAAAATAAGAGAAATTTATCATAAAATAGATAAAAAAGCAAGATAGACAGAAACTAGTTGAAAATATTTTCTATTTTGAAAAATCTCAAAAACTGGTTTAATGACGGAACACAAGTCTTTTGAATTGGAAGTTTTAAGAAATGACGGTAAATAGGTGTAAAATAAGAGAAATTCATCATAAAATAGATAAAAAAAATAAGAGACAGAAAAGAGTCCAAAAACCTTTCCTATTTCGAAAAATCTCAAAAGCTGGTTAAATTACGAAAAACAATCGTTTTGAACTAAAAGGTATAAATTATGATGCTAAATAGGTTTAAATTAAGAGAAATTCATTGTGAAACATAAAAAGACAAGATAGACAAAAACTAGTCCAATAACCTTATCTATTTCAAAAGCTCTCAAAAAGTGGTTAAATTACGGAAAACAATAATTTTAAATTAGAAGTTTTAAGTTATGACGCTAAATAGGTTTAAAATAAGAGATATTCGTTATAAAAGAGATAAAAAAGATAGACCAATACTAATCCAAAAATTTGGAATTCTTTATTTTTCCAAACCAAAACTACAGAACATAATATAATATCTTATATAATTTCTAGTGAACGGCTTTAAAAGTAAACTATAATACTCAAAAACTCTTTACATCTCCGGATCTATTTCGGCAAGTAGAAAGTTAGTAAATTTCTAATTAAATTCTACCTCTAATAGCTTCTTCGACATTATTCACTATACTTCCTTGAGAAAATTCACGGAAGTGTGTAAAATTAATGATTACGCAATTAACCTTTGATATAGGAAATAGCTACGCGTGGTAAGTGAAAGTGAAATTCAAGTATTGACGTAAAAAGGCACAACGTTAACTTTATTATAAATTGGCAACTGCAGTGACGAGAAAGAGATTTTCAAAGCTTAAGAGTCAACTAAGCGATATTGTTTCTATAGAGCCATTAATAAAGTTAAATAATTATAAATGAAGGGCTGCAATAATGTCATCTCAAATAATAAGACAATGCTACTAAAAATAAATCCCAAAGAAAAGAAATAGTACTACTCTGAAATCAATAAATTCAGTCAATAACAGTTTGTTTGAAATATTTATTTTTTTTTTGTGCGGGTGGAAAATCTTTTAAAGACACCAGGCTATGGTAGTGTGAGACTCCCCAGATTCTGCTCTGTTGGTATACTCACTAAAAAGCACCCTTTCGTTCTCCTAGTTCTCAACCACGGAACCTTCGTTAGATATCTGCTTCATGGAGACAACGAGATCCCTTTATTACTCTTATCTCTGTTCCCTTTCTTTGTTTTTCACGATGGTCCTTATCATATTGTGCAAAGTCACCCAATTTTCTTCATTTTCCACCATACTGACTATGATGTTGTCTGGCGTTATGTCCCTATTTATCCTGTCTGCTGCTTGTTTTCTTATTTCTCCCCATTTCTTGCATTCAAAGATAGTGTGCGCTGCTGTATCTACCATATTACAGTAGTCGCAGTTTTCGTCATTTACCCGTTCCATTCTCTTTAGGTACTCCTTGTAGTTTCCGTGTCCGGTCAGCGCTTGTGTGAGGTAAAAGTCGATACGTCTGTCTACATTCCACCCATTTCTTGATATTCTGAATTAATATTTTTGTCCATTGTCCTTTTTCCATATTTTCATGCCATTTTAATTGCCACTTACTTATAGTTATGGTTTTGAGTTTTAAATTGTATATCGTTTCTTTCTTTCTTTCCCTGATTGTACGCGTTTTTCTCTCTTCTGCCATAAGATCGATTGGTGGTATTCCCGTTATAACCTGTAGGGCCATGGTGGATACTGTCCTGTAGGCTGATGCTACTCTAATTAAAGTTTTTCTTTGTATTTTTTCTAGTATCTTGCAGTTTTGCTTAACTTTTAGTGTATGAGCCTATATTGGTGCCCCGTAGAGTAGTATAGAGTGTACTACTCCACTGAGTACTGCTCTATTTTCGCTATAAGGTCCACCAATATTTGGCATCAGCTTTGTCAGTTTGGCTAGTCTATTTTCTGCCTTTCCACTTGCTCTAATTAAGTGTTCTCGAAATCTGCTTTTGGTATCAAAGTGTACTCCGAGGTACTTTATATTTCCTTTCGGTCTAATGGTTTCATTGCCGATTTGGAACGTCATCTTATCTCCCTTTCGTTTTGTTGTCAAGATCACGGATTCGGTTCTGGTGCCAATGTTAATAAATTGGTTTTCATCCACCTTTCGATGCGCTTTAGGTTCTCATTGGTGTTTTGCATCAGTAGAGTTTTAGTGTCAGCTGAAACTATTAGTGCCAGATCATCTGCAAATCCAATGGTCTGTGCTCGACCCTGCAATTCCAAGTGTAGCACTTCATCGCAAAGGATATTCCACAGGGTTGGTCCGAGAACCGATCCCTGGGGCACTCCTGCTTTGACCTCCATTGTTTCTCCATTTGCCACTTGGATAACTCTGTGATCAAGGTAGTTTGCTATAATGTTGATGAGATACCGAGATATCCCACGCGTTTCGAGTCTTCGTAGTATTATGTTCCAGTTTGCGGTATTAAAGGCATTTCTTACATCAAGCGTGTTTAATACATTTCAGCATTTCTGTCTTCTGTCAACTATATCCTTAATAGCTTTCATGGCATCCACCGTAGAATGGCCTTTTCTGAAACCATATTGATGTTTAGCCAACCCCCCTTTTGCTTCAACTTCCTTCTCAAGTCTACCTTTAATTAATGTCTCATACAGTTTGCTTATTGAGTTTAATAGACAAAGTGGTCGGTACGAATTGGGTTTTCCTTTTGGCGAAAGAATTACTTTAGCCACTTTCCATTCATCTGGAAATATCTGGAGTCTAAGTAGGTCATAAAGGACTTCTAACAGCCATCCTGTGTTTTCTTTTCCTAATTCCTTTATGGCTTCAGGAGGTATTCTATCTAACCCAGGTGCTTTTCCTACTTTTATGTTATTTGTAGCCTCTTTCATTTCTATGATGTCAAAGTATGGAGCTGCTCCCCTTTTAGCGTATTTGCAATTCATCTCATCTGGATAAGGGAATAACTCTTTTGCGATTTGTACTTTTTGGTTCTTAGGAATATCATATGGCGTAAAGTTCCTAATTTCTCTCATTGCTATTTTGTACCCTTCTCCCCAGATGTCTCTATTTAGTTGCTCATACAAGTCAATTCAGTGCTCCTTCTTAGTTTTCCGTATCAGTTTCTGTAATTCTAATTTCTTGTACTCTTGGATTATGTTTTGTCTTTCTTCTTCATCTATATTTGTGTTTTTTGCTGCTCGGGTTTGTTGCCTTCTTTAACTTAAACATTGTTTCCTCTTTGCACTAATTGTTTCATTCCACCAACATGCACTGCTTTTTTCCCTCTCTGCACTTCTATGTTGCTATTCCTATACGCTTCTTTAATTATATCTACACAAATTTTATGCGACTTGCTTTCCTCTTTAGTCATGTTACTTAATCTGAGTTTTATGTTTGCATTAAAGATTCCCCAGTCTACCAGGTGTTTCCTAGTGTTTTTTTTTTGGAATATTGGTGGCTCTGACTTCGTAGTAAATGAATCGATGTTGTGTGAGATTTTCTTCCTCTAATACTTCCCATTTCTTAACATATTTTGCGATTTTCTGGGTCGACAAAGTTACATCAATAAAGGACTCCGTATTACCTCTGACAAAAGTTGGTTTATCTCCTATGTTATGCGCTACCCAGTTTAAGTTCGCCATCCATTCTACCCAATATTCGCTCTTGCGGTCACTTCTTGTGGATCCCCACATATACGACTTTGCATTGATATCCCCAACAATCATCGCTTCTTTTTTACAATTTCTAATACTTTTAACTATTTCATCAACTTTTTCTCGATATTCTTGAATGCATATATTTGGTGACAAATAACAGCAGTCAACAATTCTCTGGATGGCCGTTTCGTGAGCTAGATCGTGCGATACTCTTCTTCTCCCTAAGTTGGTTTGTAGAACTTTAAGACTCATTATGTTGTTCTTCTTCCTCTATTCGTACTGGTTAAATTTATTCTTTCTTGTCTAATTTTTTCTACCAATTCTTTAAAATAGGGGCATCTGATTTGGTCCGCTCGGTGCCCTTCGACTTCACATTTTATGCATCGCTCAGCATTTTTACAGTCCTTACTCTTGTGTCCCGTTTGTCCACATTTATTGAATTCTTCTGCTTGATTTTTCGTTGATATACATTCGTACGTTTTGTGTCCATATTCCAGATATTTAAAGCACCTTACCACATGTATTCTTTCTCTAACGCCATAATATATCCATTCGACTTTTAATTTTCTTTCCCTTATTAATACAGCTGCCGGTAATCTTGGAATCTCTATTATATCTGTTTGATCACCATATTTTCCTTTCCTTATCACTTTTATATCTATTTCAGCTTCTTTTATATTTGTCTCTTTAACTATTACTTGTTTAAGCTCGCTTTCTTGTGTCGTTAGGTCCATTCCTATTATGTAAAGGGTTGTTGTTCCAGTTTTATTCGTTGTAACATTAGCGTTCTCGATTTTTGTATTGATTTCCCTTTCTAGTATATTAGCCCTATCCTTCCCTCCCTCTACCGCGAGTAAAAGATCTCTTTTTCCTGTTTTTCTTATTCTGTTGATTTTGACACCTATTTTTCCAATGTCAACTTCTTCTTTTATTTTCTTAAGTAAATTAGCGTAGCTGCTTTCTCCTGATTTTATCATAACTAGCGTATTCTCTTTTGCTTTTCTTTGATTCTGCGGGTCGGATCGAAGCCCTTGATGCTTTGGTCTCTAGCGACAAACTCACAGATGAGACCTTTATGTTTTCTCCAATTACTCTATTTATGTTACCCGTTGGATGTACCCTTGCAGTTTCTATAGAAACTGCAAAGGTACATCCAACTTATAAGTAGTTCTCTTAATTTATTAAACAGTTCTTCTGGCTCACATTTACCATGGGGATCTACTTTCATTGGCAGGAAGTATACTGCTCCGCTAATGTAATAACTTAATTAGCCTCTTAATTAGCCAATAAGTTATGTAATATTTTTCAGAATATTCTTGAGGAATTTCCTTGTGGAGTGGGCAGATAGAATGATTTCACCCGGACATTTACCATCGGGGTGGTAGAAGACTCCAAAAATGGGGCATCGAGAGACACCTCTCGGCGATGTTATTAATATGCACGACTTTGACCTGAGATGTTGACTATCCCAAGTTTTTGATAAGTTAATAATCTATAAAATTCGTCATTAACAAGACGAACAGGCATATCTCACAATTGCAAGACTTTTTGAGTAGTTACAATGTAAAGATTTTTATTAACTTAAAAAGTTGTTTAAAAATGCCAACATAAAATATTGTCTATATATATATATATATTCCGAAAACGCCTTTATACAGACCTAACTCAAATCCAGAAATTTATTGTAAGGTTAGGTTAGGTTAGGTTAGGTTAGGTTAGGTTAGGTTAGGTTAGGTTAGGTTAGGTTAGGTTAGGTTAGGTTAGGTTAGGTTAGGTTAGGTTAGGTTAGGTTAGGTTAGGTTAGGTTAGGTTAGGTTAGGTTAGGTTAGGTTAGGTTAGGTTAGGTTAGGTTAGGTTAGGTTAGGTTAGGTTAGGTTAGGTTAGGTTAGGTTAGGTTAGGTTAGGTTAGGTTAGGTTAGGTTAGGTTAGGTTAGGTTAGGTTAGGTTAGGTTAGGTTAGGTTAGGTTAGGTTAGGTTAGGTTAGGTTAGGTTAGGTTAGGTTAGGTTAGGTTAGGTTAGGTTAGGTTAGGTTAGGTTAGGTTAGGTTAGGTTAGGTTAGGTTAGGTTAGGTTAGGTTAGGTTAGGTTAGGTTAGGTTAGGTTAGGTTAGGTTAGGTTAGGTTAGGTTAGGTTAGGTTAGGTTAGGTTAGGTTAGGTTAGGTTAGGTTAGGTTAGGTTAGGTTAGGTTAGGTTAGGTTAGGTTAGGTTAGGTTAGGTTAGATTAGGTTAGGTTAGGTTAGGTTAGGTTAGGTTAGGTTAGGTTAGGTTAGGTTAGGTTAGGTTAGGTTAGGTTAGGTTAGGTTAGGTTAGGTTAGGTTAGGTTAGGTTAGGTTAGGTTAGGAACATACATTTTTTAATTTTATTTGTTTTATTATACAAGCTCGCAAAGCAAAAACCTTCTTGTAAGCCTAATTACTTTAAATTTGGTCGATATATTTAAGTAATGTGATAATGTTTAAAAACCCAACCAAGAGATTACTCCACGTCCCTTCGTAGACCTAATTTTACATGTACTTCTACAGTGCTACATCTCTGTTTCTGTACCCTTTTTGTTAATTTTTTAATTGGCGATCACAGGCGAATACCATAGTACAGACCATAATTGGTAGTGATCGTCGATAATCAAAGATTGTCGGTTTTTCACATACGGATTAAAACTAAACGCACGTAGTTGCTTTTGGGTATCCAAATGATTGCCAAACTCTCAGTTTCTATTTAAATGTAGTAGATAAGCAATTCTTGAAGACTAACAATTAAAAGATTAAATTTATATAAGTGTATCAGGGCTTGAAAATAATTTGGAACTATATTTAAAAATTACAAATATTACAATGAACGACTTACATTCACTATCTTACTAATAATAATAATAATAATAATTATACCCTCCCTAATTCACCCCCTTACGGGTGAATTTTAACCCCAAAAGCTGAGTTTGTGCGGGGAAAGGGACGGCTATTTTTGCTTTTGCCGTGGCGCTCCGGGGCGACTTAAAGATGATTGATGGTGCCATTTGATTTACAGGTGAGGAAAACCCGGAAAACCTCACCCACCATCATCGAGACGGTAATGCATGGCGATTTTATAATCTGCATGTAATATTAACAGAAATTGAATTTCTATTAATACGGCACACATCAAATCCTATACCGAACCATACAATTTAATTAAAAATTCACATGGTCTGTCTGGGATTCGAAGCCCGGCAGTCTCGGATCATAAACTTGCCTATAAATGAATATTAGCGCGTTAGACTGCTACACCACCGACCCGATTTTTCTCATTTTATTAACTCTCATTATTATTAACATTATAATCATTGTTTATGTGATGATTGTATGTATATATCATATTAATGGCAGTAGCTGCAACCAACTAGTCATCGAGTTCCATCTTGAACAATGAAAAGAAAATAAATGAATACTGACCATAGTGTAGATGACAGCGCAATGATGGGATCGATGATGGCTTATCGTGTATAGGAGCCTTTAATTTTTTTTTTTTGGTTCTAAATTTAACATTGGCTGATATTTTCATTTATCTAGTTTAAACCGTGCAAAATCAATATTGGTTATTTCTTTCCCTCTTGGATGGTTCAACTACTTTTACTTAATATGTATACCTTGCAGATTAACTAATGTAGCTTATCTCGCCCTGTTGTTCTTTTTGTAACATGTTATTCTGGTCCGTATGAGGAAAAATTTGTAAACAACATGAATTTACCAGTAGTCACTCAAATCTAAGTTAATCCTACCTACTTCCATATCGCTTAATGATTATTCATATTTTTCTTTTTATGTTAAATCCACTTTAAATTTTTTATTCTTTTCAAATGTTAACTAGTTCTTCTCTCGATGTTTTTTTAAGGTTGCCGTAAATTAATTAGTGCCAGTATTTTTTCATGAGACGATGTTCTCGAAATTTTGTATACTAGTAAATAGTTCCTTCATAAGTTATTATTTTAACTTTTCACAATACTTTATTAAAATTGCTTTGCCTTCACTTTTAGGTGTGATGATAAACCGATTTAAAGACTTGTTAATGAATAAATTTATGTGGGTTTTATTTTTTTCTATTCATTATTGTCTTCATTATTATACAAGAAAAGAACTACTAAATTCTATAGGTTTTATTATCATTCTGATAAAGATTAATGTAGTTCGTAATATCGGATTTTATCGTTGTTTGCATCAGAATAAATTAACATAATGAAACTGTTGCCCTGTGGTGGTGAAATTAGTTCTGTACAAATCTTGCCAATTTTGCTCACTTTTGAACATATTAGATTAATCATAATATAAACAGTTTCTTTAATATCAGGGAAAATATTAAATATTCTGTGAATTAAATAAGGATATTTAATTTTAAAAATAGTAAGACACTTTCCTATTTGAGACAATATTTTATCTATGACTAATTAAATAAAACTAATAAAATAACTAATCGAAAATGTTATTCTTAACAATCACGAAATGTGTTATGATCTCAGAAATGTTCATTTACGTTTTTAGTAAGAATATAAAAAACACATAAAAATAAGGTAAGTACTTGAAAATGTGGTGATAATAAAATTTAAATATTTAACACTGTTTGACTGAACCGACTAATCATATTGCAACCGCGTCACTATACATCCGATTACCGTAAACGTAGCTGGTAGTAAGTCAAATTACCAGTCAATTAATCAATTTTAGTTTCAATTAATTACAGTAATTTGATGGCAGTATATATTCCCGTTTCAGTCGTTGCATTCCGAAGCTGAACAGGATATCGTCGTTCCCGGGCATGTTACAATTCATGGAAGGGTTAGGTTAGTCCATGTGCAGTCATTTATTTTTTATTTTGGTCATATCATACCATACTACCAGATGGATGTTTTGAAAAATAATACAAGAAAGATATTTTATGAAAAATAAGTATAAAAATCCCCTTCAAAGTATTTTTCATTCTTTTCTTTTCTTTGCCACTTTTCATAAATATCTAAGAAGTCATTGTTTAAAAGTATGGTGTTATGACTTGTTACTGTAGTTTTTAACGTTATGTGCATTTATTGGTATTCTCATATAAATAAATGAAATTTTTAAGTACCTGGATTCTTAATCGCTGCTAGTAAATGTAGTTATTGATTCATTAATAATGAAACACCCTGTATATTGTGTATATTGTTTTTTTACAATTTAAGCATGTGTGAGTTATTATATATACTGATATGAAAATTATTTTGTTTAGTTATAAATTATGTATATACTTTTGATGAAATATAAAAATTTTGTTATGACAAATCAATTTTGTAATGTATTAAAAAAATTTTTAACTCACCCAATAACTTAACTCTTATTGCTTACTCTCAGGGTCCGTAGGTTCAACACACAAGTAATGATTTGGACTTTAGTTAGTAGGAAAATTCTTACCTCCAAGTTTAATTGATCTACTCGAAAATTCCCTCAACGTTTGGTGAATTTACATAAAATAATTTTGAAACTAAAAAAATTAAAATATTAATTCAGTAATTATACTAAAGGTTTCTTTCTTCTGCTTCTTATTCTTGTATTCGTCGACTTCCTATTATTTACGCCTCACTGTTTAATTTCCTTTTTCCCCTTGTACCCTATTTGTACCTCACTGCTTATTTTGCTTTTTCCTCTGTACCCTCTAAATCTGTTTCTGTCCTGGTGCTCTACCTGACTCTTTCTCCTTTACTGCTTTTAATAATAAAAATGTACCTTACTTTCCTTTTTAAATTGTTTTATTTATGTTTCAACTGACAACATCCTATACATATTCCATTCTTATAATATTTTTTTTATTCAATAGTCCATTTTAATATATAATCTCAACTTTCCAAATTTTGATGTGACAATCTCTTAAAAATTTATTTGACAATTCCTCTCATTCTCTCTCTGACAATTTATAGTCGGCATCCTGATTTCTTTCTTAAAAATTAATTTTTCCAGGACCGACCTTACTCATCAAACGTT